ATAAATTTTATCCATCCATGTATACGGTTTCAAGTAACTCTGTAACTTTGAATCGAAAGGAATACAATTTTCAGGTGGTCTACATACTTACAATACTGCTACTAAATTAGTAAAATTAAATTCAATGTGCATAAAAGTGATTGTAAACTGTTTAACTGTCAATATCGTCAAAAAATAAATCAATATTAAATTTTTTAAATACGCTCTCCTTTTTTTTGCATTAATTTTGGCAAAGGCGTTGTACAACATTTACAAAAGCATTTGTGTTATTTATTCTGTATTCCAAAAGCATTCCATTCCACATTCCATTTTTTAAAGAATTTGTGTTATTTATTCTGTGTTCCCAAAAAGAAATATATTTAGGAAGGTATTCAATAATAATGATTGCAATCTTTGGCATCTACCATTTATTTAAAAATATTTTCCTTTATTAACAGACCATCCGAAATAGTCGAGGCACCCGTTCGGCATATTTACCTGGTATTTCAGCCATCGGCACACAGTATTTATGGCCCGGTGCTGTAGTCAAATATTTTTCCACGCACTCAACTCACGCACGAACAGAGGGACATTTGCAGTGGCTATGGAATCGGTGGGAAAACGAGGCTTTTGTTTGCATATTTTTTGGCATAGCACTTAACGCCGTGGCAGCAACGCAGAGTCGACCACAATGCCCAGGTTCAACATGCCATCCCACCAAACTCCGGCTGTGCAGTCCGCCGGATTCGATCCTGGGCAGGCTTATCCCCGGCTCTTTGGCCAGTTCGGTTGGCACTTTATGTACTCGAATTTTTCCATTTCCACATTTAAAACGCCGCATTTCCCTCTTTGGTTTCGGTCGGTTTTTTGCATTTGGTTTATGCTTTTGTTTTTCTCATTTTCATTTCCATCGTGACGACAACGTCGGGGCTCAGGTAGCGTTAACACTTGTTTAAAAATTTGTTATTGGATTTCTTTTGTTCGCATTGTTTATTTATTGCGGCAGTCGGCCGATCGGAGAGTGACAAAAAGGACAGAAAGAGGGGAAAAGAGGCGGGAAAATGGGGAACAGGAAGCCCGGAGATGGCTGACAAGTTGGCCTCACATAGGTCACGAGTGCCCCTTTATCCATTTATACCCCTTTTTTTTTGGTATGCATCCAGTATGTCCAGTAGCGCCTTTTTCACTTTCCATTGGCTTTATCGGATTGCACGTAATATTTTCGACAAATTGAATATAATTGCGCTTAAGCTGAAAAGCGCATTAACCAAATTGAATATCAGCGTCTCGTTGAGGTATCGAAATTTATTTTAAATGCAATATGCGCAAAAAGAAATCCCACAAACAAAAGTTGCAATTTGATTGAAGGTGTTAAATTGGAAAAATGTAAGCCAAAAAAATAAAATAAAAATATTCACAGAAAAATTTCTGGAAAAGGCATTTTTTTTCTACAACTATATATTTCTAAGGTATTTCTGAATATACAAATTTTTATATATAACTCAAAAAACCGAAATAACAAATTTTGGGTCAACAAACATGAAACTTTTTCTTTAAAAAGTTTGTTAGCTTCTTTTAGTTGCAAGTCCTCTACCATAAGACACACATTAACGTGTATTCTTTGAATGAAATGGTAATCCTATTTAAGCAGATGTTTACTTTCCCGTCGTCCACAATAAAACATTTTATAATTTACCTTTTTCGTATTAGGCTAATTAACTTGTCAACAACTTTGTTTTGCTAATTTCATAATTGAAAGGACAGAGCTTGTTGTTTTGTCTTCGCTCACATATGGAACAGGAACAAGAACTTAGTTTGCGTTGGCCAGCAAGTAAATTAAGTTAATTAGAAGCAAATGAAATATGAGAAAAGTTCGCATTCAAATGCTGAAAATGCCCCGTAAGCCAAGTTGAGCGTTGCCATGGCCGTGTCCTTGTTGCTGAAACATTATATTTTTGGGCATTAAATTTCGGGGGAGTCGGAGCTAGAGTCACGTTTTGCACTTCAACAACATTTTCGCCTGTTAAGTTCACCGGCCATTACAATTGCGTAAAATGGTTCAGTTGTTGCCGAAATTAAGGGCTAGCCAATGTCTGGTCTGTGTTTTGGTTTGTTGGCCAGGTCCTGACCTCCGCGTTCCAGCGAGAAACATCTGGGAGTAATTTTAATGGGAATATTCATTCGTGCCCACAACGGAGACAAGCGGTGGTTGAAAGATTGGCGAACACTTTCACCGGCAGCACTTAATGTAATGTAATTTAAATGCTTTCGGTTAATTATTCAGCCAATTTTCCACGGCCTCTGAAATGGTTTTTATCAGTTAAACGCACACTTTGATGTCGCGATTTGCTAAGAACTTTAGTTGGCTAATTTTATACTGGCTCTGGTTTTTGGCTGGCTAATTAATGTTTGAGCGGGAAGACCCAAATTCAATTAGTTAAATTTTCCAAGTATGTCAAGTACGTGGCTGGCCTCCCCCAGCAAGGAAAATTTATCAAAGACACTTTATTCATTTTTTGTGCGTAACTTCGATTATTTTCCTTTGTCACCCTAAGCTCTTAGATTGAGACATTCCGCATTAAAAATTAAGCTAATTTCCGATGCGCCATTAGGGAAATGTCACGACCAAATTTAGACCACTTTGATTCTGGTAGCGCATTTGATCTTAGCATATAATTTGATTTGCCCTGTCAAGTATGAATATTTTCTATTTTTACACGCTCTTCGAAGTGATTTTTCGTGCTGCTGTAAGTCGATGAATTTTGAAATGCGGAAAAGACATTGTAGATTAATGTATAAGTTTTGAGATGAAGATGTTTTCTGACTTAAATAAAAAAATTGTGGTATGCTTAAAATATTCAGTGGTGTTCTCTTAAATAAATTATATTTTTAACCCGATACGGCTTAATCACCAATTTCATCAAACATGAACTTTGTTTAATTTGCTTAATTTTTTTTATTGATAACTTAGGAGCTGCAAAAGATTCAGAACGAATTTTGATTACTTAGTTTTTGTTGGAGAAAAATTAATTATGCAGAGCTCTCTATTGTTGTATGATAATTTTCTTTGGACTACCATAGAGTCCCGTAAAGTGCGTCTTCAAGCTTTGGGGCTGCATTACCAAAGTGGAAAATGCCGGCAAAGAGCATCCCTTTGTCCTGGCATAAATCAAGGCCTGGCGGGAAATAAAAGGCAGGTGCGTGGCGCTACAAAAAGTGATATATAAAAGAAGGAAAGCGCGGGAATCTGCATTAACCAAAAGGGCATTTTGAGGCGGTGGCCACGGCCACGCCCGCTGCAGGAATTAAAAGCAAATTTCCGACACTCCAGAGGGCTCTCTTCTAGCTGTTTGGCAGTTTTATGAGCCGGCTTTAAAATCACGTTAATGATATTTACAACGGAGAGCTGCAAACTCGCAAGTGGAACGGCAGACTCACTTCGGCCCTTTGACCAGAGACGCTTCCGTTTTCCGCCTCTCTCGACCATGGTGTTAACTGTGTGAATTTTCCAGCATTTCCCGGGCAACGCAAGTCATTTGCATAACAAAGTCCGACGAACACACACAGTTGGTATTTACAACATTTAAATTAGACATTAAATTTGAAAGATGGGCTGCCAGGGAACTTTGTCCGTTTCTCTCTCAGGTGTTCCCTTCCTTATTTTGCCCCACATTCCCTCTTTTTATATTTTCTTCTTCTGCCAAATTTATTTAAGCTGCAGATAATTTTTGGTCTCGGCACTCGGCAAATGCGGCTCTTGATTTACTTATTTACTTTGCTTTTATGGCACTTAAATGACATTCCGCCTTTTGTTGCCGCGTGTAATTTGGCCAGTTGTCGAGTTTTTTCTTTGGGGTCGATTAAGGCGATAAGCGTAATTCCTCCTTTTGGCCAAAATGAGACCAGTCTATGTATTAACTTATTGGCAATTACAAAAGAAGATAGCAACTGGAGAGTCAGCAAGTTTGGAAATCGTAAATATGTTTCGGGAGTTCTAGTTTAGTGCGGACATAATTCAGGGTGACTTATGGGTATTGTATTGGAACTGCTATTGGGTAACTGTTTTAAGAATATCGATAACGTACTGCTAGTTCATTTTTTCTGATCATTAAAAAATAATTTTAAATTGAATTGAACTACGAGATAAAATCAGTCTTTCTTAAAAAAGATAAAAAAAGTTAAGTAAATAAATAAATAGAAAAAAAATACTATTGAATAATATATAAATAAGGATTTCAGTTTCCAAGTGCGGCTTGAACCTTTTTTTTTACAAGGTGGAACCTGCTGCAGTTTGTACTAAAAATATGCCCACTTATGGCCATTAGGACTAAAAGCATAACAAAATACAAGAGCCGAAAGCGCAAATTAATTCTCATACAAAAAGTTTATCGCTTCTGTCTGTTTTTTGGGGTAACCCTGGGCAAGAATCATAGCTATGCTATATGGAAGAAGGGGCCAAAGAGACGGGAGAGTGCTAAGGAAATCAGCACATTTGGTTTTAACGACTATGTTCTCCGGCATTTTTTCTTGTAACAACAAAGAATATGCTCCACTGCTGTCGTATCTTTTCCTTTGGTTGTTTTCATATCGTTTTTCATTTTTTTTGTGTCCATCCAGCCTGTTATTGTTGCTTTTTAATGTGCATTTGCTGTCGCCGGTGGTGTTCGTGGTTGGGTGGTGTTATTTGGCCGCCATTTGAGTATTTCAGCATTACAAAACGTCACAGGACGAGACGCCGAAAGTTGCTTTCAAGGGGTATGCTTATGTTTTGGAAAATGTTGACTCCAGATTAAATCAAAATATAAATAGATTTTCAGCTTGGGATTGTCGAGGCATAAAGTTATTATTCTAGCGTAATATTTCTAGATTTCATTTTATATGCATATCCATTCGCATTCATAAGGCAATCAATCTTCGACTTTCCTTCGCTCGGCAGCTATTTCTGCTCCTTTTCTGGTCCTTTTCCCTGTGTGGTGATGGCGGTGTCCTGTGAATTCAAGCAGCTGAGCAGCTCCTGAAATATGCAGACAGATGAGCCGGCAACAACCATCGCCCACAAGAGCAACAATGGCAATGGCAATGCGATGATGGCAAACTGTTATTATGCAAACAAATTACATGGCGGATATTTCACTGAGGGAAAATAAACGTTTCAAATTACAGAAAAAACAGTTCAAAATAATTCAAGGGAGCTTTGTTCTTACGTTTACAATACAGGGTTTGTACATTGAATTATTATACTATATTTACTTAGTTATTACATTTATAATTCTGTTTTAAAAAGTTGAAGTCCAAAGAATTTAACACTTTGAAGAAAAAATTGAAAAATCTTTGCAATACATATTATTTGTTGATATAAATTTATTTAGATCTAAATATCTGTCTAAAATTTAAGTAAATGAATGAATAAATAAAATGAATTCAGTAATAAATCTTTTGTAACTGAAATTTAACTTAAATAAACTATGAATAATATTTTTAATCTGGAGTAGTTTCTTTATAATTTTTCGCAGTGCTTGGACACTTTAGTAGATCACAACTAGAGCCTTCTTGCGTTCCTATGCGTATTTGAGCAGTTATTATTTGGCCATTTCGGCGGATGCTTCGACTTCGTTCATTACCCAATGTAATTAAAATATCCAATTAGTGGAGAGAGCGATCTGCATATATGTATACGCCCTGGTGGCCAGGACTTTTATGAGCTCCCGCTCCTGCTGGCCACATAACTAATGACCGAGAGGACAACCCCGAGTTCGTCCAGCAACATAAATTCCCTTTTGGGTAAAATTAATAAAAATGATTGCACTCGCCTGTCCTCCTGCTCCTGTACAATGAATGAATGGCGCATGCCAGCTGTTGGCCAAACACGCTTTTGATTGCCAACAACATCAGGGGCCAGAAACTACAAACCAACATTGTTGTAAGCCGGAGCCAGGCCCAAAACAAAACATCAGGAAGGGAGCCAGGAGAAAAAAATGGAACCCGTCTTTCATCAGCGCGTGCATAACAAGCAGCTCGGCTCAAACTAAAGCTGGACAGTCGAGCGGGGGAATGGGAATGGACCAAAACCATTGCGAAGGAATGGGCCAGGACGTCACTACCACGGTCCTGTCGCTCACTTGGCTCATATGGTGCAGGGATGGCGATTCGGATGGGCTTGGATCGGCTTGGAAAACCATTTTGGATGTCCTTGGTGTCGCTTTCCTTGTGTCATGCCACAGCAAAATGACAAACAGTTCGCGGGATGTGATGCAAACTCAAAGCAAACGCGAAAAATAAGACAGGCCAGTAAAAATAAAAATAAGATGGGACTGCAAAATACCCAAATCTGATAGCCAAAAGTTTTCAATTTAATATTTCTTATCGTTGATTAAAAAAGTATTTGATTTCGTTTATTTAATAATAATAATGAAGGAATAAACAAAACTTGGTAGGATATATAAAATTAAATTACAATAATAACCAAATAATATACAAATAAATAAATTAAAATTAAAATGTATAAAATCAAAGAAAAAACTAAATATAAAATTAGAAAAATCAAAGAGAACATGATTATAAAACATGATTTAAAATGTACCTAAAGGTAAAAAGAACGATTTTCTTCTTCATATTTTAAAATTTATATTACTTTTTTACATTTGATACCAAGACATCCGTTAAAATTGCTTTGTCAGACTTGTAAGTCTAGGGTATCAGAAAAATTCCATTTGCAGAAGCCTGACTACAGTAAAGACCACTCAGTCTGACAGGCAGTGAGAAATCCTCAAACTCATCTGCTACTAAAAGCGCCTTTTAATCCAACATGGCGCCCAACAATTGCCATGGCTTTTTTAGCCGCTCAAACCACCACCCGCGGGTGAAATTCCACAAAAGCAACCACATCGCTTATAAGCACTTCACATCTAATCAATTATGCCATCTGCACATATCGCTGGGGCTCTTAGAAAAGCACATTGGCCAATGGCCACATAACATTTAAATATGCATGAAGATTTTAAAGCATCGCGCCAAGGATCAAGGATTCAGCGACGGAAAAAGAGAGATAAAATATAGCCGTACAGCCAAATGAAATTGTAAAGGATAGCGGCACGACCAACGTGAAATAAACAAAGCAAAAATAGAACAAAAAAGAGAGCCAGAATGATGGCAACTCCAGAAGCAGCAAACAGAGGCAGGACACTCCAGCTGGAGTAAAATCGGGAATCTGAATCAGAAGCAGAATCCGACACAGAAACAGCAACCAGCAACAGACACAGCAGTCTGGATACGGAGCAGCAACAGAAACAGGAACCAGAGCCAACATTGCATGGCTGATGGTGCGCTAATTCCGTTAGCAATTTCACTTGCCAGCCGAGAAAGCGCACAGAACACGAAAACAAAAATCAAGGCAAATGAACAAGTCATCGCCTTGGGAATGCTCTTCAAAAAACGCCACAATATAAATTTGGTAACCGCTAAAATAACTAAAATCATGAACAAATTCGAATCTCACTTCTAGAAAAACTAACTTATGAGCACAATAATCCATTTCAGATCACAACGATGATCAATTTAATATATAGAATAGACTTTGCCGCATCTCTTTTTGATATGTTCGAAATGTAAGCAACAGGTCAGTTCAAAATTCGAATGTTTATTTCTCCCTCCCACTCGTGTAACTTAAGGAACCATCTCGCTCTATTTTGAATTGAGAGAATTTGTTCTTCTCGCTACCACTCACATAATTTAGGTCGCAATATTACTTCTTCCTGTCTTTTTCGATGTCAGATAATCTTCAAGAGAAAGAAATAGGCAAAATTATATTGTTTAATATCAATTTTACCAGTATTGCATGGTGAAAGTACATGCGGATGCAATACCAGAAATTTACCATACGTATATCAATTTGATATCAGCGTGTTTTTTTGTGAGCTTTTAAAGCTTCTTTAAAAAATCCCTTGCCGTGGGCTGAATACCTGAGCTACTTTATAAATAATTTTTCGCTTGTAATATAAATATTATGATAGAAAATCTTGAATACACAGTTGAAAACACAGTTACTATTTTATTGTAGCATATGAGCAAACATTCTGTAGTATACTGGTATACTAGTTGCGTCATATAAATATAATGAAGTAGTCAAATGTTTGGTACTCCTGGAAATCAACTTCAAACGCACATATGCGTAGACTTCTTGTTATAAAAACTCACTTTGCCGGGGAACAAGAGCAAACATCCAGTGTCTGGGGGTAGGGAAACAAACAAATCTTACGCTGCAATGAAAAACGAGGCGAAACTGCTTAACGGCTGCCGTTTTCTGCTGCCGTTCGTCCTGTCAAATGTGCGAGTGAAAAGCAGAGCTGGCAAAAAAAACCGAGAGAAAGGAACAAAGCAGCTGAAAAAAGGCGAATGAAATGGCCAAGCAAATTGTATTAGTGCGGGAGTGTGTTGGCCACATTGCAACAGATTAACGTGCTTTACTTGGCTTAAGCATTAGCAAACAGGAGGAGAAGATACAGCTGGGCAAGTCGAGGGGGAACAGGCGGAAAAAACTCTGCCCCAAAAGTGGACGCCGCACAAATGTAACGTTAATTGCATTGAGGGCACACATATGTGGTCCCAGCTGCCCCTCCCGCTATTTCACATTACCCTCTTTTGACATCAACAAACCGTTTTTAAATAAAAGAAACCACGCACTCACTCGCTTGTTTGCCTTATTTCCTCTTTCTGGCTGCTTGTTTCTTGTATTTATTTACATTAATTGGATTTCAATGTGTAACCAGCAGATACATCCGATATAAATTGGATACAAGAGCCAGAGCAAAGGCGTCCTTCAAAGGCTCAAAGGGAAAATCAAAGGACTCAAAGAACTTAAGGCCAAGGAGAGGTGGTCAGCTCTGTAAGTCAGGAAAAAAAGTGAAGGACTCTTTTCCTTTACAATTTTCAAAAAAAGCGTTAAAATTTAATTAAAAAACCAAAAATTATTAAAAACTACACAAATCAAAGCAAAAAACTTTATAATTCGTATTTGTTTTTGATTTAAAATTTTAATTTAAAATTCATTGACCATAACCCAACATGTGGTGAAAAAGCTTTGAAATACTTTTAAAATCAATGTAATACCGGCACAATCCACTCAATGAGGAGATTAGAATTAATGGTCTAAAATAATTAAGCGGCCCTGCAAACTGGCTAAATCACTGGGTCCTTGTGGGCTTAGCTGAACAGATGATGTGGCCCTGCCAACCATGTTAGGCGCAGTGTGAGTGTGTGTGTGAGAGTGTGGGACAGGATCTGCTGCTAAAAGGATGTGCAGGACTTACCCTAAGTACGGGAAAGCCGCAGCCAAGTGCAGCGGCGACACTAACAAATGAACCCTGTTCGGGGCCATGACAATGGAGAACTCGAAGGGAACGGGGTGGAAACTCAAGCATATTGAGCGTAAAACCAGAAGATTTAAAGGTACATGCACAAAGATGATACTACTTAGACATATGTCTTTCGCCCGGCTCCCTCACAATTTATGGTAGCAAAAGGAGCACCCAGCGAAGCATCATCAAAACTGGCCAGTGCAAGCCTTTCGCTCTCTATCCATCATCTTGGCAGCTTTTGCATAAACCGAGTCGAGTCCTTTGCACAAAAAAAAATATTATGAAGCCCGGAGTTGGGAGAGAGGGCAAGAGAAAGCCCCGGCTCAGGACCAGAAACTCAGTCTTAGGACCTGCACTAGACCAAAACCCAGACCGAAAGTCAACTCTGGGTGTTGCCCCAAAATGTTGTTAGTTCGCCATTTTGTTGCCTCACTCTCTGCAATTTTATTGCAGGCTGGTTGCGGGCTTACTCTAACAAGAGGTATTTAAACTACTGACAAATAAACTTATAACTTTCTTATTTCTGTAAAAGTCTTTACAAAGTCCTTCCAGTAGCTATTTTCGATTTTAAGGCATAAATTATGTTTTACAAGATTTTCAAAAGCCTATTTAAACGTTAATTATTGTTTGAATAATTTAGAATGTTACAGCAAAAAATGTGTAAAAATTTGGAAAAATATTTAATAAATAAAATAAAATAGGATATTTCTAAAAAATTATTTTAGTTATACCCAGGGTATATAAACTTCGCAGCTTCATAAGCACTGTATCATTTCTTTTTTGGCCACCCTCAG